GAGAGTTGCAGAGGTGAGAGTTGCTGACGTGAGAGTTGCAGCGGTGAGAGTTGCAGAGGTGAGAGTTGCTGAGGTGAGAGTTGCTGAGGTGAGAGTTGCTGAGGTGAGAGTTGCTGAGGTGAGAGTTGCAGAGGTGAGAGTTGCTGAGGTGAGAGTTGCTGAGGTGAGAGTTGCTGAGGTGAGAGTTGCAGAGGTGAGAGTTGCAGAGGTGAGAGTTGCAGAGGTGAGAGTTGCAGAGGTGAGAGTTGCAGAGGTGAGAGTTGCTGAGGTGAGAGTTGCAGAGGTGAGAGTTGCTGAGGAGGTGAGAGTTGCAGAGGTGAGAGTTGCAGAGGTGAGAGTTGCTGAGGTGAGAGTTGCAGAGGTGAGAGTTGCAGAGGTGAGAGTTGCTGAGGTGAGAGTTGCAGAGGTGAGAGTTGCTGAGGTGAGAGTTGCAGAGGTGAGAGTTGCAGAGGTGAGAGTTGCTGAGGTGAGAGTTGCAGAGGTGAGAGTTGCAGAGGTGAGAGTTGCAGAGGTGAGAGTTGCAGAGGTGAGAGTTGCAGAGGTAAGAGTTGCTGAGGTGAGAGTTGCAGAGGTGAGAGTTGCAGAGGTGAGAGTTGCAGAGGTGAGAGTTGCTGAGGTGAGAGTTGCAGAGGTGAGAGTTGCAGAGGTGAGAGTTGCAGAGGTGAGAGTTGCAGAGGTGAGAGTTGCAGAGGTGAGAGTTGCAGAGGTGAGAGTTGCAGAGGTGAGAGTTGCAGAGGTGAGAGTTGCTGAGGTGAGAGTTGCAGAGGTGAGAGTTGCAGAGGTGAGAGTTGCAGAGGTGAGAGTTGCTGAGGTGAGAGTTGCAGAGGTGAGAGTTGCTGAGGTGAGAGTTGCAGAGGTGAGAGTTGCAGAGGTGAGAGTTGCAGAGGTGAGAGTTGCAGAGGTGAGAGTTGCAGAGGTGAGAGTTGCAGAGGTGAGAGTTGCTGAGGTGAGAGTTGCAGAGGTGAGAGTTGCAGAGGTGAGAGTTGCAGAGGTGAGAGTTGCTGAGGTGAGAGTTGCAGAGGTGAGAGTTGCAGAGGTGAGAGTTGCAGAGGTGAGAGTTGCAGAGGTGAGAGTTGCAGAGGTGAGAGTTGCAGAGGTGAGAGTTGCAGAGGTGAGAGTTGCTGAGGTGAGAGTTGCAGAGGTGAGAGTTGCAGAGGTGAGAGTTGCAGAGTTGAGAGTTGCAGAGGTGAGAGTTGCAGAGGTGAGAGTTGCTGAGGTGAGAGTTGCAGAGGTGAGAGTTGCTGAGGTGAGAGTTGCAGAGGTGAGAGTTGCAGAGGTGAGAGTTGCTGAGGTGAGAGTTGCAGAGGTGAGAGTTGCAGAGGTGAGAGTTGCTGAGGTGAGAGTTGCAGAGGTGAGAGTTGCTGAGGTGAGAGTTGCAGAGGTGAGAGTTGCAGAGGTGAGAGTTGCTGAGGTGAGAGTTGCAGAGGTGAGAGTTGCAGAGGTGAGAGTTGCAGAGGTGAGAGTTGCAGAGGTGAGAGTTGCAGAGGTGAGAGTTGCTGAGGTGAGAGTTGCAGAGGTGAGAGTTGCAGAGGTGAGAGTTGCAGAGGTGAGAGTTGCTGAGGTGAGAGTTGCAGAGGTGAGAGTTGCAGAGGTGAGAGTTGCAGAGGTGAGAGTTGCAGAGGTGAGAGTTGCAGAGGTGAGAGTTGCAGAGGTGAGAGTTGCAGAGGTGAGAGTTGCAGAGGTGAGAGTTGCAGAGGTGAGAGTTGCAGAGGTGAAAGTTGCAGAGGTGAGAGTTGCTGAGGTGAGAGTTGCAGAGGTGAGAGTTGCAGAGGTGAGAGTTGCAGAGGTGAGAGTTGCAGAGGTGAGAGTTGCAGAGGTGAGAGTTGCTGAGGTGAGAGTTGCAGAGGTGAGAGTTGCAGAGGTGAGAGTTGCAGAGGTGAGAGTTGCAGAGGTGAGAGTTGCAGAGGTGAGAGTTGCAGAGGTGAGAGTTGCTGAGGTGAGAGTTGCAGAGGTGAGAGTTGCTGAGGTGAGAGTTGCAGCGGTGAGAGTTGCAGAGGTGAGAGTTGCTGAGGTGAGAGTTGCTGAGGTGAGAGTTGCTGAGGTGAGAGTTGCTGAGGTGAGAGTTGCAGAGGTGAGAGTTGCTGAGGTGAGAGTTGCTGAGGTGAGAGTTGCTGAGGTGAGAGTTGCAGAGGTGAGAGTTGCAGAGGTGAGAGTTGCAGAGGTGAGAGTTGCAGAGGTGAGAGTTGCAGAGGTGAGAGTTGCTGAGGTGAGAGTTGCAGAGGTGAGAGTTGCTGAGGTGAGAGTTGCAGAGGTGAGAGTTGCTGAGGTGAGAGTTGCAGAGGTGAGAGTTGCAGAGGTGAGAGTTGCAGAGGTGAGAATTGCAGAGGTGAGAGTTGCAGAGGTGAGAGTTGCAGAGGTGAGAGTTGCAGAGGTGAGAGTTGCAGAGGTGAGAGTTGCAGAGGTGAGAGTTGCAGAGGTGAGAGTTGCAGAGGTGAGAGTTGCAGAGGTGAGAGTTGCTGAGGTGAGAGTTGCAGAGGTGAGAGTTGCAGAGGTGAGAGTTGCAGAGGTGAGAGTTGCTGAGGTGAGAGTTGCAGAGGTGAGAGTTGCAGAGGTGAGAGTTGCAGAGGTGAGAGTTGCAGAGGTGAGAGTTGCAGAGGTGAGAGTTGCAGAGGTGAGAGTTGCTGAGGTGAGAGTTGCAGAGGTGAGAGTTGCAGAGGTGAGAGTTGCTGAGGTGAGAGTTGCAGAGGTGAGAGTTGCAGAGATGAGAGTTGCTGAGGTGAGAGTTGCTGGGGTGAGAGTTGCAGAGGTGAGAGTTGCAGAGGTGAGAGTTGCTGAGGTGAGAGTTGCAGAGGTGAGAGTTGCTGAGGTGAGAGTTGCTGAGGTGAGAGTTGCAGAGGTGAGAGTTGCTGAGGTGAGAGTTGCTGAGGTGAGAGTTGCTGAGGGGAGAGTTGCAGATGTGAGAGTTGCAGAGGTGAGAGTTGCTGAGGTGAGAGTTGCAGAGGTGAGAGTTGCTGAGGTGAGAGTTGCAGAGGTGAGAGTTGCTGAGGTGAGAGTTGCTGAGGTGAGAGTTGCTGAGGTGAGAGTTGCTGAGGTGAGAGTTGCAGAGGTGAGAGTTGCTGAGGTGAGAGTTGCTGAGGTGAGAGTTGCAGAGGTGAGAGTTGCTGAGGTGAGAGTTGCTGAGGTGAGAGTTGCAGAGGTGAGAGTTGCTGAGGTGAGAGTTGCTGAGGTGAGAGTTGCAGAGGTGAGAGTTGCAGAGGTGAGAGTTGCAGAGGTGAGAGTTGCAGAGGTGAGAGTTGCTGAGGTGAGAGTTGCAGAGGTGAGAGTTGCTGAGGTGAGAGTTGCAGAGGTGAGAGTTGCTGAGGTGAGAGTTGCTGAGGTGAGAGTTGCTGAGGTGAGAGTTGCTGAGGTGAGAGTTGCAGAGGTGAGAGTTGCTGAGGTGAGAGTTGCTGAGGTGAGAGTTGCAGAGGTGAGAGTTGCTGAGGTGAGAGTTGCTGAGGTGAGAGTTGCTGAGGTGAGAGTTGCTGAGGTGAGAGTTGCAGAGGTGAGAGTTGCTGAGGTGAGAGTTGCTGAGGTGAGAGTTGCAGAGGTGAGAGTTGCTGAGGTGAGAGTTGCTGAGGTGAGAGTTGCAGAGGTGAGAGTTTCTGAGGTGAGAGTTGCTGAGGTGAGAGTTGCTGAGGTGAGAGTTGCAGAGGTGAGAGTTGCTGAGGTGAGAGTTGCTGAGGTGAGAGTTGCAGAGGTGAGAGTTGCTGAGGTGAGAGTTGCTGAGGTGAGAGTTGCAGAGGTGAGAGTTGTTGAGGTGAGAGTTGCTGAGGTGAGCTGCTCTCCTCGTTCGGGGACCAGTCCCCCCGTGCGCTCACTGTCACGGTGCCGCGCACAGGGAGGATTTTGGACCTGCAGAGAGCCGTAGCTGAGGTGTGCCAGCTGCCCGTGGGAGAAAGACTGCACGTGGCTGAGGTGAGCTGCTCTCCCCCCACTCGCCTCTAGAGACCAGCCGCCCCGTGCGCTCACTGTCACGGTGCCAAGCACGGGCAGGATTCTGGACCTGCAGAGAGCGTTGGCTGAGGCGTGCCAACTGCCTGCTGGGGAGAGACTGCACATCGTTGAGGTGAGCTGTTGGTGAGGTTGGCTGAGGTCGTGTGTTCCGTTCTCTCTGGGAGAGGCTTGATGGGTGCTCACAGGGACCTGCAGAGGGCGTTGGCAGAGGCGTGCCATAGCTGCCCGCAGGGGAGACGATACACGTCGCTGAGGTGAGTATTCTTGAGGTGAGCTGCTGCTACTTCTCGTTCCCCTGGCACCAGTGTATCCAATTCGAGCGTAGCGGAATGGGGACCTGCAGAGAGCAAAGGCAGAGGTGTGCTAGCTGCGTGCTTGGGAGAGAGTGCATGTTGCTGAGGTGTTCTCTTGCCGGTGTGCTGGGTGCGATTCTATGTTTGGCGGCTGGGATCTGCATGAATGCTGGGTGTCGAATGCCTGTTGCCTGCTCAGGAGCCCAGCACACCCACTCACCCCACATGCTCACCAGTCCCTCACACTCAGAGCAGCAAACAGAGGTACAGAAAGAGCCGCGGACTTACCTTGGCTCTCATCGCCCTTCCTCCTTAACACTCTTCCCTTGCCCCCCCCTTCCGCTCTCCCATGCATACCAGATCTACAACAACCGCATCTTCCGCTTTTTTAGAATTCTCAAAAAACAGATACACCCGCAGAGCAGAATTCTTCCGCTCGTTTCCACTGCTGGAGCAGATCTCCTCCATTACGGACTGGGACAGGCTGGTTCCCTACCGAGTGCCATGCCCTCTCGCCTCCTTTACCCTGCACGTTTTCCCCCCCACACCCCCCTTCCTCCCCTGCCCCTCTCCCCCCAGATCTACAACGATTGAATTTTCGGCTCGTTCCCACTGCTGGAGCAGAGACCCTCCATTGAGGACTGAGACAGGCTCGTGGCTTACCGCATGCCTTCTTCTCTCGCCTCCCCTATCCTCCTACCTCACACCCCTTTCCCTCCCCACCCCTTCCTCCCCTGCCCCGCCCCCCCACCACACACACGCTAACCCCACCAGATCTACAACAACCGCATCTTCCGCTCGTTCCCTCCGCTGGAGCAGATCTCGTCCATTGAGGACCGAGACAGGCTCGTGGCTTACCGCGTGCCGCGGGGGTGTGAAGCGCCCGTTATAGTCACACAGCGGATCAAGGAAGTGTGAGTGTGCTTTTAAAGGGGAGGTGGGAGGCGGGTAAGGGGGAAGAAGGGGGGGGGGGGTGGGGGTGGGGTTGGGGGGTAGAGGAAGGAAAAAGGGTTTAAGGATGTGTGAGTGTTCTATGCGAGCGAGGAGGTTGTTATATCCTCCCCCTTGCCTTCATTCCCTCCTCCCCAAACTCCGCCCGCCTCTCAACGCTTTCTGCTCCTCACATTTCCAGTCACAAAATCTACTTGTGGCTTCTTGGCGCCCCTCTCCTTCCCTCTCCTCCTCCCCTCTGCTCATCCCCTCTCCTCCCCTCTCCTCCTCCCCTCTCCTCCTCTCCACTCGTCTTCCCCTCTCCTCCTCCCCACTCTCCCTTCTCTCATCCCCTCTCTCCTCCTCCCCTCTCCTCCTCCCCGCTGCTCCTCCCATATCCTCCTCGCCTCTCGTCATCCCCTCTCTCCTCCCCTCTCCCCCCCTGTCAACAACCTCCCTTCTTACCCACAGCGTCACACTCACAAACGCTTTCTTCTGGCGGCTGCTTGCCGCCCCTCTACTCCTCCCCATCATCCTCCCCACTCTCCTCCCTTCTCCCCTCCCCATTATCCTCCCCACTCCTCCTTTCCCTCATCCCCTCTTGTCCTCTCTCTCTCATCTCTTTCCCCTCTCTTCCCTGTCCTCTTTTCCTGTTTCTCTTTCCTCTTTTCTCCTTTCTATTTCCTATTTCTCTTTTCTCTTTCTCTTTTTCCAACGGATCCCCTCTCCTATCCGCAGCTCCACAGTCACCAACGATTTCTTCTGGCGCCTGCACGGCGCGCCTCTCCTCCTCCCGGTCTCCCGCTTTGACATTCGCTCCGGTGCCGACCTTTACCGCCACGTGCGCACTGCTCTCAGGCCCTTCCTGCGACCAGGGGTGTCCGAGACCGAGACCTCGCTCTCTCTCTCCCCTGCAGGGGACAGTGCTGCCTCTCCAGACGTTGCCGCTTCTCCTGCTGCTGCAGCTGCTGCTGATGGTGTTGTTGTTGCTGGTGGTACAGCCGATTGTGAAGGTGCCGGTGCCAGTGGTGCTGGTGCCGGTGTTGGTGGTGCAGCTGGTGACGGTGGTGCTGGTAGTGTTGGTGCAGACGGCACAGGGGACGGGGATGTGCAAGGGAAGGATGATCCTATGGACGAATCAGCAGGGAGGGATGCCAATACTGGTGATGCAGCAGCTGGCGGTGAGGAGGGTGAGGGGGAGAATGGGGCGACTGCACGGGAATCTGCGGCTGAGGTTTCTGCGGGGGAGGAGGGAATAGAGGAACAGGCAGCGGCAAAAGTGGAGCCGCCGTTTTCGCTGTCTGTCACTCGAGCGCATGTTGAGACAGCTGCTGATGCTATTCGGATTCCTGATGGGACTGATTTGCCGAAGGGATTTACTCCGGATATGCTTTCCAAGGACGGACTCGCGCTGCTATTGGATTGGTCGGTCAATGGGCTGAAGGAGTTTTACGATGTCGGGCAGCTTGAGGAGCTGCCCGAAGTGAGCTCGGGCAGTGCGGGGCTGCCCATGAAGAACAAGCGGCAGGAGGGAGTAACGCTGTTCTCGTGCCTGGATGCTTTCATCAAGGAGGAACCGTTGGGCCCTGATGATATGTGGTGAGTGATTGTGCAACGTGTCGTGATGATTGTGCAACGTGTTGTGAGTGACTGTGCAACGTGTCGTGATGATTGTGCAACGTGTTGTGATGATTGTGCAACGTGTTGTGTTGATTGTGCAACGTGTTGTGAGTGATTGTGCAACGTGTCGTGATGATTGTGCAACGTGTTGTGATGATTGTGCAACGTGTTGTGATGATTGTGCAACGTGTTGTGATGATTGTGCAACGTGTTGTGTTGATTGTGCATCGTATAGTGAGGTTAGGCTTCTTCTTGCCAGTGGTTATGCCATGCGCAGTAAGTGATTGTGCATTGTGTGGTGAGTGATTATGCACTGTGTGGTGAGTGGTTGTGCATTGTGTGGCAAGAGATTTTGCATCGCACCGTGAGTGATTGGTTATGCTATTGTGAATGATGCTGTTATGAGTGATCATTTGTGAGTAGTTATGCATCGGTTTTTAGGGTATGACCTCGAATTTTCTACCCCCTTTCCTTTGCCCTCGCTCCACTGCCCAAATCAGGTACTGCCCGCAGTGCAAGGAGCACAGGCAGGCAACTAAGAAACTTGACCTGTGGCGACTGCCGGAGATCCTAGTGGTGCATCTGAAGCGCTTCTCCTACAGCCGCTACTTCAAGAACAAGCTCGACACGCTCGTCACCTTCCCCGTCCATGACTTCGACCTCTCTCCGTACCTGCCGCCCTGCCACGCGGAAGGGGGCGGCAACGTGTATGAGCTATATGCGATCAGCAATCATTACGGTGGCATGGGTGGAGGGCACTATACTGCATACGTGCAGGTGAGTTGGAAGACTCAGCTGATGGGTTTCATTTCAATGTATTTTAGTCCACACCCCGCATCCTTCCACATGCACTGTGTTTCATCAGTTCCAGTGTGCTCTCTCTCTCTCTCTCTCTGCAACGATGAATGCAGTTGGGCAACGAGCGTCAATGGCACACCTTCGACGACAGCTTTGTTTCTCCTGCAAACGAGTCACAAATTGAGACACCTGCGGCTTACGTGCTCTTCTACCGGAGAGTTGGGAGCTCGCACCACTATGCAGCTTCCCAGAACGAAGCAACAGGTGATGGACAAAATAACTCCACAGCTGAGGTCACTGACATGGACCGTGACTAGGTTGACTTGATATACGTTGGAATGACACTGCTTGTTCAACTATTTTAAAGCTTAGTAATAGTGTGACTCGTTTTAACTTCCCTACTAAGCTAGTGGAAAAGACAGAGCAACAAAACAATTACCAGTATAGAGTGAGCTTCTGGAAACGGTAATGAAACAATGAAGTACATTTTTTGTGTGGTTTTGTTCATATTTTGTGTGTTTTTGCTTGCTGGTAGCTAGTAGGTACTATCTAGTGATATGTGGCTCATCTGTTGAAGTGTCAGTTTTACCTCGAAATTCTTACAGCAAGTATTGATTGTACAGCGGATACAGTACGATCATTAAACTAAACTATGTAAAGAGGTAAACAAAAGAACCAAAACAAGAATGTGTCGCTAAGTGTGAAGAAGTGGAATGGTCAGATGGATTATCACTCGTCAGCAGGCTTCTCTTCCTTCTTCTCCTCAGCTGCAGAATGACAAGAAATAAATTACGGTAAGTTCCTTGGCGATTGAAATTATCGTTCTGGTAAGGAAAGAGATTGTGCAATCAACGCATTACTCACCAGGCTCATCCTTGGCGGCGGCTTCATCCTGGAGATCAGATGTCCAGAGCGTCAGGTTGTCACGAAGAAGCTGCATGATGAGGGTGCTGTCCTTGTACGACTCCTCGCTCAGAGTATCAAGCTCGGCAATAGCCTCGTCGAAGGCTTGCTTGGCCAATTGGCAGGCCCTGTAGAAGGAAACATGGGTGTTAGAAGCAAGCCCTCACAGGAGGAAATGTCTGCACGATGCAGAAAATACGTACTTCTCTGGTGAGTTCAAAATCTCGTAGTAGAACACAGAGAAGTTCAAGGCAAGTCCGAGGCGGATGGGGTGGGTAGGTGCAAGATCGACAGTCGCGACCTCGGAAGCTGACTGGTAGGCCTTCAACGACTGCTCAGCGGCCTCCTTCCTGTCAGCGCCAGTCTTGAACTCCGCGAGGTAGCGGTAGTAGTCACCCTTCCTGAAAATAGAGAGGAAGTTTAGAACCAAAAACTGGATGCAACCATGCTGTAGTATGCAAGACAATGAGCACGCACATTTTGTAGTAGAAGACCTTCGACTCCCCAGTGCCAGATGAGGGGATCAAATTGCTGTCAATGATGTTGAGGATGTCTTGGCAGATATCGGAAAGCTCCGCCTCAATCTTGGACCTGTACTCCTTGATCCTCGCCACATTTTGCTCGTTGCCCTTGTTCTCCTCCTGAATGTAGGGGACAAAACGGAACGGTAAGGAACAGCGAAGACAAAATCCTGGAGATCTAAAATCTAAGTCACGAGGAAAGGATTTGCTATCAAAATGTCGGACCTTCTGCTCGATTGAAGACATGATTCTCCATGAAGCCCTGCGAGCTCCAATGACGTTCTTGTAGCCAACGGAGAGGAGGTTGCGCTCCTCAACGGACAGCTCGACGTCGAGCTTGGCAACATCCTTCATGGATGAGACCATCTCTGAGGAGGACAAGGAAAATCATTTAGTTTAATCACTATAGATCTTTAGTCATTCAAAATAAGGAAAATAAAGCAAACCATCAAAGAGAACTCAATGTTCTCAGCTCCTGCATATTACTCACCATCGTAGCGCTCGGCTTGCTCCGCAAGCTTGGCAAGGTAGACGTGGTTCTCGCGTTCCTTCTCCATCTTTATGAAAGTAGTAACTGTAAAGTAGACAGAGAGACACTAGTAAGGAGGAATCGCCAGAACCTAGACCTTAGTGGGAGACAACAGCAGCTAATGCAGAGAGCCATTGAACCTGGCCTAACTTGTAACACACCTTGGACGTCGGAGGACTGGGCTGGGCAGTGGAGAAACAGGTGAGTGTCAAAATAGAAGCCGAGTTAGGTCCTGAAACCTTCATAAAGGATGGATACTTCAGGAAAATTGATCTCGGTTAGGGAGATACGGCCCTCCTTCCGAGCCCATGTGACTGCCAGCGGAGCCCAGGTCCCAGAATACCGCGCTACTGAACGGTGCGGATGCTTCGACATGCTTTGGATCTTTGACTAGAGCTTTGTCAGCAACGGAGGCTTGGAGGATGGCCTCGGGAACCGAACCTTCCCCATCATTACAACGGAAACTGTACACCGAGTGCTTTTACGTATATGGGTATCACTTGTGGTGGAATCTTAGTTCACTAAGGTGTAGTATTCAATCTCTACCTTAATGACTGCTAATTTGAAGCATTCGACATTAAATCCCAACTTAAAAATGGCTCTTCAACATATTTACGTTGCTTTCATCGTTGTGATTTATCCTTCAGCCATGCCAGCACATCCTTCCACACCTCTTCTCTCTCTGGCTCTGGCTCACCTTGCAGCAGCTGGTGCCAAGCTAATGGATAGATATGCAGAGTCTTATCTTTACTCTGAGACTTCTCATGCAAGTCTCTGGACTGGTCTGGGTCTGTTACACCATCCGATCCCCCATGCATGATGAGGAATGGCAAATGCAGGTTTGGAATGGAGGCTGTAACAGCATCAGCAAAACGCAGGAGCTCAAAGGCAACGCCAAGGCGTGGGTTACCACTGTAGCGGCGTGGGTTCTGGAGGGCAACTTCAAGTTTTGCAGGATCTCGGCATGAGAGACTGGATAGTCAAGGCGGGGAACCAAGTGGAGTGGAAGAAGGGGGGCAGAAATTATACAATGCGCGGAGCCGAGGTGCAGTAGATGTTAAGTCGATGTGAAGTAGGTGCAAGAGCGTGATGACCAGATAGTGTAAAGAGCTAAGGCAGGAAAATATATTTGCCAGAGAAACAGCACATGGTCTTACCGGATCAAGTCACCCTTTGTGGGCACAAAGGCACTGTCAGGAATGACCGTTGCAAGGACTCGAAGAACCTGCAGTGCAGCCCAACTAGGCTGCAGCTCCTCCTTAATGCGCAGCATGGGAGACACCATTACCAACCCAGTCCAGCTATCAGGATCACGCCTGAAAAAACAAAAGCAACATTCAAACGCATCAAGCAAGCAGGCTCACAACGCAATTAAGTAAACTTACATCATACAGAAGAATTTGAGCATAATGTTGACTGATCTACAGCCCTTCCTCTCAACAATGAACGGAATGAATCGGATGGTTTACATGACACAAGAATCAGGAGGAGATATTTCTGGCTCCTTACAATGCCACGGTCATAGCGATGGCGCCTCCCAGCGACTCCCCATACACGAACGACGGAAGCCCTGCGAAGTCAGGCTTCGTCTTGACGGACGCGAAGAAGGCGCAGCAGTCGTCCACCAGATGCTCCGCGGACCTGAAGGAGCATCTCAAACCGTCCGATTTGCCATGGCCCTCGAAGTCGATGCCCAACACTGCGAAGCCCTCCGAGGCGAATCGAACGGCTGACAGCTGTGAGGATCGCAGGAGAGAAGGAATGAGGCGGAAATGAAAACAGCTGGTCGTGACGGGAGAATCGGATTCAGGGAATGAATTGTGAAAATCAACTGGAGGGAGGATGTCTTGCCTGCATCAGCCAATTGCAGCAGTTGGCGTAGCCGTGGCAGAAGAAGAGGAGGGCCAACGGCTTGCGATCGGCTGAACGACGAGAAGGTCCGAAGGACGCAGATCATTGGGGAGAAATGGGAATGGCTGAAGGAAGAGTTTCGATCAGCTACGGAGCAAACGGGAGCGGGACGAGGAAGACAAAACAGATGAGACGGAAGCGAGAAAGACTGGACGTGCTAGCTCGCATGCAGAGCTACTTGCGAATTTAGTCGAGCAAAACATTGGTGATCCTCACCGGGCAGCCATGACTGCGTGTAGAGGCGGATGTTTCTCGAATTCGTGATGTATTCAGCGGTGTGAACCACTTTATTCTGCTCGTAATAGGCCGCTGCGCTCGTTCCGAAGAGAATCTTGTCGAGATCCTCCTCAGTAGCTTCCAGTGGCTGCGCAGTAGCCATGATTGCGAACAACAGACGGGAGTTTTTGTGACTGGAGAATGGTAGAAGCGTAATATGGTTTTATGAACTATTTGTTTCGCATGGGGATTTGTTCGCATGGGGATTTGTTCGCATGGGGATCAGTTTGTAGAGCGCTCGCTTAGCGTGTGAGAGGTACGGGGAGTAATTTCTGCCTCTAATTCTTACAGTGAATTCGAGGTACTCAAATACTGACATAAAAAACAACTTACATAAGGCTCACCAAACATGTTTATGCGACATTCATCCTTGTGATTTCTCTTTCAGCCATGCCAGTACATCCTTCCACACAACTTCCTTCTCTGGCTCTGGTTCTCCTTGCAGCAGCTGGTGCCAAGCTGATGGATATATATGAAGCGTCTTATCCTTACTCGGAGCCTTCTCATGCAAGTCTCTGGACTGGACTGGATCTGTTACACCATCCGATCCCCCATGCATGACGAGGAATGGCAACTGCAGGTTTGGAATGGAGGCTGTAACAGCATCGGCGAAACGAAGGAGCTCAAAGGCAACACCGAAGCGTGGTTTACCACAGTAGCGGCGTGGGTTCTTGAGAGCAACTTCTAGTTTTGCAGGATCCCGGAATGAGAGACTGGATAGCCCATGGGACAGAAACAAGAGAGGTGGAAGAGGGGGGACAAAAGAGCAAAGGTGCAGAAGGTGTGAAGTAGGTCCAAGAAAGTGATGGCCAGACAGTGTAACAAGCTAAGGCAGGGAAGAATTTTGCCAGAGAAACAGAGCATAGTCTCACCGGATCAAGTCACCCTTGGTGGGCACAAAGGCACTGTCAGGAATGACCGTTGCAAGGACTCGAAGAGCCTGAAGCGCTGCCCAGCTAGGCTGCAGCTCCTCCTTAATGCGCAGCATGGGAGACACCATGACCAGCCCAGTCCAGCTGTCAGGGTCACGCCTGAAAAACAGAAAAAACATTGAAAAACACCATGTACGGAGGCTCACAACACAGTTAAGAAAATTTGCAACCTACTGAAGATTTTGGGCATGATCTAGAAACTGTAATTTGAACAATATACGGAACGAATCGGATGGTTCACATGACACAAGAACCAGGAAAAGATGTTGCTGGCTTCTTACAATGCCAAGGTCATGGCGATGGCGCCTCCCAGCGACTCCCCGTACACGAACGACGGCAGCCCTGCGAAGTCAGGCTTTGCCTTGACGGACGCGAAGAAGGCGCAGCAGTCGTCCACCAGATGCTCTACGGACCTGAAGGAGCATCTCAAACCGTCCGATTTGCCATGGCCCTCGAAGTCGATGCCGAACACTGCGAAGCCCTCCGAGGCGAATCGAGCGGCTGTGAGCTGCGAGAATCGCAGGAGAGATGGAATGAGGCGGAAATGAAAATAGCTGGTCGTGACAGATGAGAGTCGGATTCAGGAAATGAAATGTGAAAAACAACCGGAGATGGGGTGCCTTGCCTGCATCATCCAACTGCAGCTGCTGCCGTAGCCGTGGCAGAAGAAGAGGAGGGCCAACGGCTTGCGACCAGCTGAACGACGAGAAGGTCCAGAGGACGCAGATCATGGGAGAAAAATGGGAATGGCAGCAGGAAGCGTTTCGATCACGCACGGAGCAAACGGGAGCGCGACGAGGATAATACAGCAGATGAGAGGGAAGTGAGAAAGACTGGACGTGCTAGCTCGCATGCAGAGTTACGTGCTGATTCTCGAATTCAGTCGAGCCTAACGTTTGTAATCCTCACCAGGCAACCATGACTGCGTGTAGAGGCGGATGTTCCTCGAATTCGTGATATATTCAGAGGAATGAACTACTTTATTCTGCTCGTAATAGGCCGCTGCGCTCGTTCCGAAGAGGATCCTGTCGAGTTCCTCCTCACTGGCTTCCAGCGGATGGGCAGAAGCCATGATTGCGAACAACAGACGAAAGTATTTGAGAGAGGAAAACGATAGAAACATTTTGTTCGTTCATTATAGACACACCAGCGACAGTTGGCATGGGGATGTAGCTCAGATGGTAGAGCGCTCGCTTAGCATGCGAGAGGTATGGGGATCGATACCCCACTTCTCCAAGTTTGCGGGGATAGCTCAGTTGGGAGAGCGTCAGACTGAAGATCTGAAGGTCGCGTATTCGATCCACGCTCACCGCCATAGTTATGGATCTTAGTTTGAACTCTCACCACTTGCTGTCTTCTCACTCATGCACTTCTGATAGACAGTCTCTCCGCTTGGTAGCATCAGAACCACTCATCACAACAACATCGTACCTAGGTTGTAATGTAAGCTGCCACTGGCAGTGCAGGCCCCTAGATTCGTTTTTGGAAACTCTGATGGGTCAGAGTGCACCCTTCTCTGAACTCTGTCAGTCAGAGTTGCCTCCAATTTTGAGGCTGGAAATTCAGACAACACTACGTTTTTTAGGCTGAACATTCAGAGTTACACTTAAATTTTCGTTTCCCGCCCGTGATTGACGGTGTTAGTGCAACACGCCGCCAGGCTGGCGGAAACCCCTGCATTACCCATTTCAGAGTGCACCCCCGATACTAGTGTTACGAATAATGATTACTGAAACACTACTGTGCACTCCTCACCGCAGCAATCGAAGCACGCACTACCGAGAACGAAGGCGAAAGGGCGGAGGAGACGCGAAGGGTCGCACGGTTACCAAAGCATCTGGACCGTCGGGCAGGCAGCATCAGGCAGCAGCAGTGGCGAGGATTCTGCCCGGACAGTTTCGTAACTGTCTGGAGTCGCACGGTTGGATTTCGATGTAATAAGGGAATGTACCCCTTAGAGTACATGGCTAGCTAGGTCGATTGGTATTCCCTTGTAATCTTATTTATAGTGCTGTACTTGCATGTTTTTATTATCTCAAGCATTTACATTCACTCTGCTATTGAGGTCACGGGCCCACCACCACTACTCAGTTGTGTGCGAACCTTCCTGAGGTGATCCTAGGAACGATCAACTTCTGATCGCAACATGGTATGAGAGCGACTCAGGAATCCTTCGCACCGCCACCACCGAAACCTTCGGCGAACGGAAAGTGGCGTCCGGCACACGCTCACGCGTGAGAATGGCCGGAGGATCTGGTGGTCAGACGAATCTGACGGCTGAAGCGCAGACCAACCCGGCTGCGGCAAGCGAGGAAACGACGGCAATTCCTTCCGCCGTTCTTGCACAACTGCTTCAGCGACTCACCAGCTTGGAGCAAGGACTCCAAACACTGCGGAATGGCGACGCGGGAACATCTTCCCAACCCTCTCAACCGGCCTCGAACGGCCACAATACCGCCCCGCATACCTTCTCCCTCGACACCAATGGCTCAACTCCCAAAACTCTCTGACCCAGCGAAGAGGCAATTCTCTCTGCGCAATCAAGGTTTTTGAGCATATAAAAAATAAAGACAAGTGTGTGCTTTGACGGCAGAGACTTCTATACGTGGAGCTTCGAGCTGGAACTGCTGCTGCAAAACGCGCAGATCTTCCATTATTTCGACGGGAGCTACTCGGGACCCGCTGAAGACACCGACGACGCCAAGGCGAGGTACTACAACAAGTCCCTGATGGCGTACGGAGTTCTTCTGCGAAACATGTCGCCGGCGGAGCAATTGAGCATTCGCTCATACAAGACAACGTCTGCTCCAGCCCTCGACGCTTGGCGCCACCTGAACGGCGTCTACCAACCGAAAGACTCGGATTCGTCGAGCCGCCTACTCTAGCAGCTACAGGAGACAAGAATGGCACCAGGGGAGAAGGTCAACAGCTACATTAATCGCTGTCGGAGCTTACGCGATCAAATCGCGAAGTTGGGAAGCACGATCTCTGAGGAGATCTTCGTGAACATCGTGCTTCAAGGGCTCGGCCCAGAGTGGCGGCCCTGCAAGGCGCTTCTTGTCAGAATATATCTTATATATATGTCTGTATAAGTGCATGTAGTCCTAGCTGTAGAGTAGTCACCTTGTGTTCTGTGTGGTGGTGCACCACTCCTTGCTGGTTCTCTTCTATTTGTACCTCTCGTTTCATAGTGCAACCACTCCTTTGCTTGGACTTCTCCTTTGCCTAGGCTAAACCCTAGTTACCTAGTCCTAAGCTATGTCTACTATTTCAACACTTCTCCGACAGCAGGGGGTCATCTCGGAGGCCGCCCTTTGCGCCGCCCTTCTCGTCGAACAACGGGATATGGACCAGCAGCGACCAGCGCCGCGACGAGACAGGGAACGCCTCGCCTTCTACGCCGACAACACGGAAGAACGACGGCCGCGGCGCCTTTACTGCAAGATTTAGGGTACCTGGCAGATCGATGGAAACATCGATCTCGCCCTCGTCAGACCAATCCGAGCAACTGGTCCGGACGACAAGACGCAAGGAACGACGTGCGTCCTGCCCAGGGGCATCAACCCCCACCGCGCAACCTGAATCCAACGATTCAGCATCAGCAGCAGCAGCACCAACTGCTCCCGTTCGCAACGTCATGGGCAACATGACGATGACGAGCGGATCTCGTCGTCCCCGTGCGCGCTCACCTTCACCGGAGGAAGCACTTCACCCAATCGGAGCGTTTTCGAACAACAATCCGTTCAGCACGCGCCACGATTTCACTGACGACGACAACCAGGACTGGAACCTTCCAGTCCCGCTGCTTGAGAGCCCCCCACACGTACCTGATACAAGGGCGGCACCGATCGACTGGATCGCGCGCGAACAATTTCTAAAGGTTGACACACCACACATCGTTACTCCGCGACTGGCGCTGCTCGCACGTAACGACAACAGGCGCTACAACACGCGGTACCTAGATAGTTGCTGTGGGCAGCACATGGTGGGCTCCGAGCGTTACATATCCAACGCCGTCGCCACCCCCACCGTCACCTACGTCACCGTGGCAAACAACACACGCCTGCGCGCAAGCGCGCAAGGCATCGTCGTACTCAAGGCACGCGGGAGCAGAACGCATATCACACTGAATGATGTGTTAATCGTGCAGAACCTGCGCTTCAATCTCCTCTCGGCGGCGCAACTCATGGATTGCGGAGTTGTCCTCAGCACCGACCCCGAGACGCACGACATCCTGCTTCACTTCACGATGCCGAACAAGACGCGAAAGCAGATCGGACGAGCCCGTGCCGAGAACGGAGTCTACGTTCTTGATTTCAGCATTCCCGACTGCAGCGGCGACTCGCAGGAACTGATCGATCTCGTCCCCCTGCGCTTCGAACATATCCACCGCCGTGATTGGAAACATCCTGACGGGCGCCCATGGATGCCTCATCACCCACACCCGCGCGAGACGGCACTACATGACCCCGACCCCGACGGCATCTGCAGAGATTGCCATACGCCCACAGCCTCGACGAGCGCGATCGCCGGCCGTGGCCTCGCTGCCATCGCCGAAGCAGAGCGGGAAGCACCGCCTGAAGAAGGGCTGTCTCACCTGGAGCTCGAGACAGCCACGCGCATCGTTTTCGGAACGGAGGAAGCTCCTCTCCCAGGACCTGCATCACAACATCTTCACGGAATGCTGCGCGGCGTTGGCGTCGGAACCTTCGATGCGAAAGGAAATCCGCGACCCTACACACAGGAGAAATTCCTGGAGATCTACTCTCATCAGCGCGACTCTACGAAGAAGCTCACCGTCGCACAAGAGGAGGAACTGGCGCGCCGCGAAGCGGAAGAACTTCGCCAACGGAGCCCTGCGGAGTCACGCGGAACATTCGCCTGGAGCGGATGGGGCGAAGAAGAGAGCGCCTCCAATGAAGGGGGGTGGGGAAGCGCTGGCGGATGGGGCACAAGCGACACTGGTGGCGATACTGGCGGATGGGGAACCGCAACCGGCGGCGCCACTGGCGGATGGGGAGCAGACACCGGCGGCAACACTGGCGGATGGGGCGCCGCGTCTGGCGGCGAGACGAGCGGCTGGGGAGCCTTCCGCGAGGACCAAAGGGGGGAAGAAGAAATTGAGGAGGCCATTGAGGCCGAACCTCCTGTTGTTCCTCTTGGTCGTCCTCCGCGCCGCCCTGCACCCGCACTACCCCCACCTGACATCCCGCCAGGAAGTGACCCTTGGGACACCATCGACTGGGGGAACGAGCCGTCAACCCCGCGACACAGCGTCTACGGGCCTGCCCCCGAGCCGCGCGAACCAACATTCTTCCCGGGAACCATCCCTGGAACCAATATTCCCCTCTCCGTTATGCTTGACAGGGAATTCCTCGCGCTAATGTTAACGACGGCGAACGGAGAAGAAGAAGCAGAAGAAGCAGCGGCGACACCCGCTCAAGCACCTGATGAGGATCCCGCAGAAGCACTCGCGCGCTACATACACACCTCCGGATTCCGCGCTGACGATGCCATCTGGCACCCCTCGCGCGTGACTCTGAAGAATTGCATCGAGGCCGGCGTGTTTGCACCTGGCGCACTTCTGCGCCCTGATGGCACCGAAGTAAGGGGCGCGACACATCCGCGCAACTGCACCGTCTGCCCCAAAGCCGCGCTGAGCCACCAGCCGTTCCCCCTGCTAGAGCCCGGAACCAACTGCTACACCAAACTGGAGAAGGTGTACAGTGACTTCCTCAACGTGGTGTCAAACATTGTATATGTTTGTGCTGTGTCGGCTGTAGTGGGTTTAGCCTTAGGGGGTACAGTCTCTAGGGTTTCATACTTGTACTCCCAACTTTCCTAGTTCAATCATTCTCGTTCAGTTCAACATTCTAACATGGTATCCGACGCCTAGGTCACGACCTAGAACCGACGTTGGTTAAGGCCCACCGTTCCGCCGCGCCCTTGCGCGACCGTGTCTGATAGTACTTCGTGCCGTCGAGCGCCCTTCCTAGCGCCGTCGTGCGCCCTTCCTAGCGCCGTCGAGCGCCCTTCCTAGCGCCGTCGTGCGCCCTCCCTAGCGCCGTCGAGCGCCCTTCCTAGCGCCGTCGTGCGCCCTTCCTCGCGCCGTCGAGTGCCCTTCCTAGCGCCGTCGTGCGCCCTTACTAGCGCCGTCGTGCGCCCCTACCCGCGCCCTCGAGCGCCTACCTACTCGCGCTCTCGAGCGCCAACCTGCCGCCCTGCCCTGCAGGCCGCGCGCGGGCCTCCTCTGCACCCGCGCAACCGCCCCTGGGCCCCGAGGCGCGGCCCCTGGACCCCGGGACGCGTCGCCCCT